GTCATGCTCATTGTTTATTTTATTTATTTTTTTAACAATACATATGGATCTAAAAGTTTGAGAAAAACATAAAGTAAGAATTACACCAGATGAGCTGGCAGAGCCAAAAAAGCCACAAGGTCTGTGAGGCTTGAAGAAAACATGAAATGAAAGGACAAAAACAACAATCATACAATTACCTGAGCAAGCCATCTACTTTAATACATTTAGACTCACAATAAGGTTCTAGCCATGGGCATTCATAAAGTTCATGGCTGGAGATGAGTGTAAAAATAATGTATAAACTGAACATTGTGCAGTTTATGGACTCAGAAAACTGTGGCCCTGGTAGAACTTGTAAAATGGTTACGGCTATGACTAAGAATGCAATACAAAAATGTTTGATGACTATTTACTTGGTTGATTCAGGTATTTAATTTGATCTATTAAAATGTTTAATACTCTTTTTGCTTGTGTTGTTCCATTTACTGTCCAAAACTTAAATATGCTATTATCATCTTCATATTGTGGGAAGCTGGAAGCAGCGAATGTGAAAAATGTTTGCTTGAAAAAGGCGATTTATCTAAATAATTGTATTTTTAAGTTGTTGCTGCTTTTCAAATGGGAATGAGTGTGGTTGCTGTATCATACACAATATAAATCGGAAGATGTCATGACTCATGACCTGGTGACAAAGTACAGGACAGATCCTCTGCACAATAAACTGTTCTGTCTGTTTCCGCTGTAGCTCTGCACTCAAACCCTCCCTTACGAGGGAAATTATACAATTATGAATGAGTTTGTGTTTCCTGCAGCTGTGTGGGATGTGAGGTGGAGAGTAGAAGCTTATGAGCTCTGACATGCAGATTGCAACCGTGATGGCAAAGAGGAAGACTCAAGAGAGTAAGAATGCCCAAAACAAACAAATCTGTATTCACTCTACTGCTGCTGTCTCACATTTGTGTCTGCATGCAATATAGAATTGATCAGACAGTGAGTTTTCTTCCATTTGTTTTCTCAGGATTAAGGTGGTGTTTCTGCTCAGCCCGGGATGTATGTGGGTGGACAAGGTCAGCGACCCTGTGAGGAGTAAAGGTATCTAAGAAGCATGAACCTAAGGCTTTGTGACATTTAAAAATGGAGATTGGAGTCTGATGTGGTTAGAATTAGTGCCAGACAGCCTCTGCTTTTTAATCTTACACACAAATATTCACGATTGCACAATGTATTGTACATTGCTGCACGATGCTGTCTGGTGGAATTCCAAGCAACCTCAAGGCAGTTTTGCTTGGTTTTGTATGCCTTTTTGTTGTCTCAGTTGTTGCTTAGTTGGGCTTTGTTATGATTCAAGTGTCCCATTACTCTCTCTACAGCCTAATCACAATCCTGGTGTTTGGCTTTGTGAAGCATTTAGTGTAAGAACTGTTTGTTTTAATTGACACGTTAAAAAGTGTGTGTTTCCTTGCTGATGGCAAAGTCAAATAAAGGGTGATGGTAAAAGTTTTTAAACTAAAAACACATTGTAACAGCACTATATCCGTATGTGTGTCATATTACTTTGTATTATTTAAAGCACAAAAACCTTGGAATATATATAAATGTCTTCACAGAGATTCAATCCGCATTCTGTGCAGAGCTGCAGAGGTGACACTCAGCTTTCAAGCAGGATGGTCAGCGTCCTCATCTGCACTGAAAGCAATCACAGGGAGTATATAACCTTCCTGTCTCTCATGGCCAAAGAGAAACTACCTGAGGCTCATGTTTTCCAGAACATTATTGTGTGAAAGAGCGGCTGCATCCCCAGCGATCTCTACCACATGTTGGTTACAGCACGTCGTTTTCTTTAATTATTGGCTCTTTTGTGGGTGTGCATGTGCATTTACCGCAATATTAGCTCCTAATTTGGATTGACTGAGTGAAATGTTTGAAACATTTTAGCTATTTGAAATGATGAGACACGATGATCGAGAACATAAAAGGAAATGTGTTTGGAATGATTTAAAGGGAAGAGCCTGCAGTTCACTTGCTCAGATGCCCTGTTCTGTTACAGTTCATTTCTTTATTGGTAATTACTCAGATTGTTGACCTTTGCCCTCCCTGTTTTTACTGGCTTGTCCGGGGATTCAGATTGTCAACCTTGCGCTGTTCATGGTTTAGCCACAGTTGTAATTGTATGTGGATTCAATGTGTTTATGTGCAAAGGGAAGTAAACATCTGTGAGGACTGTCAATGAGGTGTATAAACGTATAAGGCAGATGTTTAACTCATTCCTTTTTTAGCCTTTTATCAATACCTTGTCTCACTTCAGCTCATTAACTTCATCAACAGTCTGTACCTCTATAGATACCTCTATTTTCTCAGCGTATTGCATGAGCTCATTAATTTTCTGCATTAATAAGTGAAGGATTATGTCCTAACAGACTGTGACTTAGATAACAGAACTGAAACAAATCGTCAATTAATCGATTGGTCGTTTGAAAGCAAAAGATATTATGATATTCGGCTCAATGTTGAATACATTTTTCAAGCGAATTTCCCAAACTTTTGTTGGTTCCAGCTTCTTAAATGTGCTTTACTGATGAGCTTTTTTCTCAATTTTAAATAGTTTTTTAGACCAAACGATGAATTGATGAATCAAGAAATTTAAAATCAGATAATTCCGTAATGAAAATAATCATTGCAGTTCTTTTGAACATCTTTGGCTCTGCTCAACCAACAACTGAATAATGTCCTGTCCTAGTGAGAGGACATTACATTTCAAACTATCCCCCTAAATATTCCACAGATTATTTTCCTGATATATGCATATCAGCAAATAAACATAATTTCTCAAGCAGTCAATTATACAACTGAGATGGTTTATATTATGCATAACCCCTCCATTCAAATACGAACAATAATTAACATTTGAAACACATTCATCACATCAACAACAACCAGAGTGGCACCTTTTAATACTTGTCTATATTCGAAGTCGTTTGGAAAAGGCCCCTGGAGAACTGAACCCTCTCTGAGAATTGCGGCGCTTTTACAACAGAAATGCATCCAAATCCAATTTTAATGCATAGTAGGCTTATACGATTATTAATCACGACTCTCTTGAATAATAAAAAGTTACTTTATTCATTAATTGCTCAATAATTGATCAATATCATGGGGCTAATGAATTACCCAAAATCTCCTGCTGAGAGATGTCATGTACGTTTTTCATAGATACATGGTCTAGCGTGGGAGAAAAAAAACCAATTAATTTCATTATCATTAGCCACAGAACTTTCTGGTTATAAAAGGCTGTATAGCCCTACAGCTCACAGAACCAAGTCAACACAAGGCTGAGGTTTAAGCCTATTATCCCACTCTTGTATCTAGTTATTCAACGGCTGAAAAGGCATTCATCCTCCATATTTTAAGTCAAAGGGTGGTCTCTTCTCTCTCAGAAATCGGTCAAAACTCAATAAATCTGTGTGTTAAGTATTTTACAAGCCATGTCTATCAGACCTCCAATCACTAAAAGGGCCATTACTTCACTGTGAGCACCTTAATAACACGCTAATATGAGAATCACAAGGTCATCCTTGAAGGAATGCCGGGACAAACGGATGCATCAAACAAGCACTCAACCTCACTTGAATATTTCCACTGCACTTTCTTTTGGAGCTGGCTCATTTCCTGGGCCCTGTGTTAGTCAGCCCAAGGGTTTCCGAGCAGACGACTGTTCAAGTTTTCTCATGTGAATCAAAAACTGATTTCTCATTAAAGGCTGCTTTTTAATACATCTGTGAGCATAAATGAAAGAGGAGTGGGCGATCCAAATGTGATAGTATGGTTATGTAATGCTGGATGTGTTCATTAAGACTGAAGAAACAGTTCATGTTTACACATCTGGTGTTATAGGTCAGTGGGGGTCCTTAGGGAAGCTATCATGCTTCACTTGGGTTAAAAAAAATACTTAATTTTTTATCAGATAGTCCAATTACAATTCAGAGACTCTGAGGAGATGTTTCAAAGTTATCTCACAACTCACAGTATACATTCTGTATTTAATCATACTTTAATTAAGAAGGTGAGTCCTCAGAATAAATACTTTACAAAAAGAGGTAGTGTATCCTTCTTTAGACATTGGAATGTGCACACAGTATGATTATGCATTTCCTATGTCCACACATGTACAACCACATGGCCATTAACATACAACGTTGTGGTAGGTAAATTAATTTCATATAAAAACAAATCTGCAAAAATGTGCTGTGTCTGGTGTTAGTTGGTTGTTTTATGCCAGGTGAGTGAACATCTGCAGAGTAAAGCTTTCTCTAATTTACATATACATTTTGTTTGCAGTATGGTGCACGCTGTGATAACTCAGTGCATGTATATTGTTTTAGTTGGCTCTTTTCTTGCATTGGCTTAAAGTGGGAAATTACACCTGCATGCATACGGTGCAATTTATTTAGGTGTACTTGTATTGTAATTATGTCGGTAAAAAGTATGTATTCACGTACAGTTACAAAGTTTAAAGTGACTTAAATATGCTGATTGAGTGATGGGTTTAGCAGAACTGTCTCGAAATACGCACACTGATTGTAGATACCGGCGTGTGGCACAATGCTCCGCACGCTGCGAGTGTCCGCTGGGAATAGTGATAGTTCACCCGCCGTACCTGAGCCGAGCCGGGTCAAAGTGAATGTTATTTAGTGTACTTCATAATTAGAAGTAAATAAAACACAGATGTCGTCGCAAATGCACTTGGAATCAGCGAGCAGAGCACCGCAGACGAGAATAATCTCTGCAAAAAACACAAATGACCAACACTTCTAGCAATGTATCATTTTGACCAGCATCTCAGCTTTCAGTTTCCACACAATTGTAGCCTATACCTTCGAGTTTATAAGTTTTGGGATGCTGACACCTTACAGTACCGCGTGACGCAGGTGCAATGTGTGACATGTAAAATAAAATGTAATTTGGAGCAAGATGCGTAAATATTACAGCTTGACTTTCCCCCACTCCCACTGTTCTCTTACCAAGCAAGCTGTTCCGTTCAGAAGGAGCAGGATGAAGCCGTGGTTGGGACGCATCATTCCGGCGCGTAAAACCCACAGCTCCCCCTCCCCGGTAGCAAAAAAATGAAACGAAAAACTCCCGCACACGGGTTTTTCCTCCTTCAGGAAGATGTTCTTTCTCCGGCACCGGATTCCTCTCGGGTGACGCACGGTCCCATGTCCAAGGCAGACTAAACTGCAGCTTCCACAAACCTAAAAAAACCGCTGAAACCACTTTGAGTCCCCCTTTTCTGTCTTTTCTTTTATAGTCAAATTAGTTGTGGTATGAGAAATCCATGAATATGCGGGAGGCTGTTATCATCCATGCAAACAAATAAAGAGATCCCAGCTCAAAGTAAAATGGTTTGACTGGGGAGTGGGTTGATGATATCTGGTCATCGGAACAGAGGAGATCCTGGAGTGAAGGCGCATAGCCTCCTGCAGAAACTCAGCTGAGACTGGCAAGAGCTAACACACGTTTAAACAGTTTCTACTCTCTCTCACTCCCTCTCTCTCCCCGTTCTCTCTATTCCCCCTCCCTTATCTCTCTCTCTCTCCACCTATCCAGCAACTCCTTCCTTTCCTCTGCCAGCCACTTTCTCTAGTCCTATCCCCTCAATTAATTTAGCATGCAATCAAAGGGAAAAAAAGCTATTAAAATGAATAACCAGTAGCCACACAACAATTACCATCTGTTTCCCAGTGCATCTGCCTCTATTTTCTAATCTCTAACTAATATATTTAACATCAGTTTTTCTACAGCAGCCTGCCCCACTCATCCACTGACGACATTTTGGGCATTTCTCATCACCGAGCTCATGGGTGGGTGAAAATCCTTGATTGGGAAAGACTGGGACTGTTTTCACACTGTTCTTGTCACAACAAAAATAACTTGTGTGTCATATGGTAATGCCTGCTGTCACTTGAAGCATGATTGTTTGTCCTCCCCACAGGTCAGAGAGGGATCTTCTGAAGAGTATTGACATTCTCTCTGAGCACCGAGGAACCAGTGACCGACACCTCAGGGGGGTGTGATTGATAAAGACTTTCCCCAATAACGCACAGTTCATTAGGAGTGGGTTAATGGAGTGAAATGCAAGGTATCACTTTGCAGTTCCCCTGGCTCCCAACGGCTCCATTTCTGCTTAATTAGACTCAGAGATGGGCTTCTCTGGCTCGCTCCGTCTCGCTGATTTTTTGCTCATCTTTCCCTGCATCTCTCTCCAATCTCCCAGTAGAAGACCCCGTCCGTATAAATCTGTCCGTCACCAGGTCAAAACGTTTTCCACCAGTGCTATTTGTCTTGGATCAGCCCATTTGAAATGCTTTGATCTGATGGTTTTTCTGCACCTGCTAATAATGCAGTGGGTGTTATCTGCCTTCGCTACTGTTTAAGGGTTAATTGATCTCAGTTCTGGGGTTAATTGGCTCGCCAGGCGTAATACTGAGGGACCTGACCCCTGGAAGTCAAAGGTCAGAGATGAGGGGGTCACCGGAGAAAATGAGGCCCTGCCGATCCAGAGCGACTGAGATATCAAAGAGTTTGGCTGCAGGGAAGTCCTTAAGATGACTGCTCTCTTCCACCCATCTGACTGTGAGAACACATACAGATTCCCTGCTCATTATGATGCAGGAGATGTTGATGAAAGATGGGAATGAGCTCATCGACTTAGGAGGTTGCTTGATCTCTCTCTCTCTCTTTCTCCTTCTCTTTTTTTTCTTTTTTATTACATTATTTCAGAAGCTAAATGTGTCTCTGTATAATGCGAGCCAGTCTCTTCAGTTGCCAAGGGTATCAGGGAGCTCTCTGGGAGAGGAAACAGCAGACCTATAAAGGGAGATCTGCTCCCCGGCCCACAATCTGAAGAAACAGCAGCCATAATAAAACGCCTTTTAAAATGGGGCACGTTCATTCATACACACACTTTCCCTCCTGCACATAATTATAGGGCCATAACTCAGTCTGTTTTCTCTCTTGGGAACAACCAGACAAGCGGCTGCTATTTTTTACTCACTTGACGAAAAAAGAGAACAGTGTGGATGCTAAGATACCCATCAATTGACAAACAGGATCGACTTATCTTAATGTCGTTCCACAGACGTCTCACAGCAGCGTGACAAATAGGAATGTGTGTTTGTATATTTTCTTTTATTCTGCTTTCCTGCCAAACTCCCAACAATTGTGCTCAATCATTGTATTGCTTGACACGTAATCCTATTTCACAGTGTAATTCAGTTTGAATGAGAAGCTGCAGGCAACAGACATCCTGGTGAGATGTCAGGGACCCGGGCTGCAGGATGTATACATGGGTGTTGGCTGCCCTCTAGTGTCTCTGCTCTCTTCTGCACCCCAGGGTGGAGGCCAAGCTTCAGTAGTGATGGGGTACAAATGGGCGATGGAGGTCAATTAAAGGGTCAGTTCACCAACATATCTTTACATCAATAGGTAGGCCTACAGATAGTTCTGCCTTTATTTGTCCAGCTCCTACAGAAGCCATGAAAGGCAAGTGGGAGAAAAAACCATTTGCTGATACTATTTCTAAATGTTATTTAAATACAGGGTTTAAAACAAACCCTATATTTAAAAAAGGTAACATTTATTTAGCAAAACTTGCTAGCACTTTATGTTCTTGTGTACAGTATTAAGTGCATGTCGAATATAAAACTCACCTGGAGGAAACAACTATGTCTTAAGTGTCTTTACATGAGGTAGTGGTGCACTTCAGCCTTTCCTGATTAAAGTGATTGAATACTAAGTATAGCTGTTCTTAATCATGAACACATAGAGAAAATAATGTATTACAAATTATAATCATTGTATTTTTTTTCCACTTGCATCTCAGGGCTTCCATAAAGTAATATATCTTTAATTGACAATTGTTCTGCCCCTAAACAAAGGAAGTGTATTTAGATCAGGTTGTGGTGTTCAGAGCATTGCAAATGTACATGGACAATTTACAGCAGCATGCCCTTTTAAAGAAAGTGTCCTTGTTATTCTGAATTATACACAGAAAACACATTCAACTACTTTCTTAGGGATCATGTTATTTCTCCGTTACAGTCCAAGAGGGCTCAGGACTATCCCACTGTGAAATCACCAATTGTTTGACCTTTTAAGCAACACACTTTCATCAAGTCCTCAACTATGCAGATGTTGTTAAAATAAAATAGAAACTATTTTAAATGAAAACAATAAACAGTGTACGGATTAAGGTTTTAGTTGGACACTGAAACTGGGCATATTTCTTCTGAAGAACGTAGATTCAATAAAAAAGGTTTAGAGGGGTTCATGCCATGGCACTATATCTGGAATGTGTACTGTATGTGGTGTGGATTTGTAAATGCTTTAAATGCATGCAGAAATGCCACAAACTACTATCTTAAAACCGGATGAAACGATACCAGTAATATTTGATAAATCGTTGTCAGTAATAAAATATGTTTCTTTTTTTTTTATATTGTAATGAATTATATGATGATACTCCTCTCATTTGTAGGGACTTGTGAGGTTAGGGGATCAATATAATGCCCTCTACCTTTATTTTTACGTTTTATTCTTTCCTACTTATCTTATTTGTCATATTTTGTCTGAGATTTTGTGTTCTGTGCTTTATATAAAAAAGGAAATACATATATTATTGTTAAAAAGATCACGTTTCATGGGAGTAATGAAACAGATTTTTTTTAATAAATCTGTATATTTTTTTGTTTGCATTTTTTATCATGCTGCATATTTTATTTATATTTGCAAATTGATTTCACATGGCTAATTAAGTTTCTATTTTTGTTACCTGCCTGGGGACTACGCTTTTGCTAATGTCTGCATTTATACATCGTGTATTTTATACTGATATTTATTAAGTTGCACCTCCCCATTAAATAAACAAATACATACAGATCATGTGATTCAGCTGTGCTTGTTAATCTGAACTACACATGTAAGTAAAAGCGTGAGGATTAATCCTGAGCTCTTGCAGCCACTAGGGGATGCTACAATCAAAGGTAACACATTGGAGTTAATGAGCCACTCCGGCTGTGTGCAGACTCCTGCATGCAAATCAATAACCATCCTTCAAACATGTGAGAGTGATGCCTGTCAACATGAACAAAGTGTTCAGAGTGTTTTGTTTGCTGTAACTGTTTCCCCCTATTGTGTGGAGCGTATTAGCGAAAGGTAAGATATCTGTCTATTTCTGGTGTTCCTGGTTTAGGACATTATAGATCGTGTCAAGCTTCAAGTCTGGAACAAATCTATCTTGTCGCAGTGTGACTCAATCCGATGTAATGCACCATCTGTAAACCACAGTTATATCAGGAGAGGGGGACTTTATTGTACAGAAATGTCAGATTAACACAAGCAGTTACTTTCTCTTTCTATGTCCCAGCTTTTTCCCTCCACCACCCCCTCCTCTGTCTTAATCTTTGATCTCGAAGATATAAATATAGTAGGCACTTGAAGCTAACAATGGACTGATTGAATCTCCATGAGCTGCTCTGTGACATGGCAGTCAATCAATGTGTCCTCTGCTAATCAATGTCTTTCTTGAAAAGAGGACTGAGCCCAATAAGTGAACATGGCCAGAAGGGATGGTAGGAGTGATGACAGTCACTGGCACTAGAAGTATAGAGGGCCGGGGGATGAGGAGAGGGATGAAAAGAGGTCCGGATGAACGGAGGAGAATCAAATCTGCAGCTCTGGGAAGGTCCACACACTCAGAATCCATTAATCCTGTACAGATCCCCCTCCTCTTTATGTATAATTTCCTCCGTCGACAAAAAAGAAAAGAAGTATTACTTTTTCTTAATCTTTTCTTTGCTATAACCACCAATATTTTCTTATCATCTGTTTAGTCATTAAGTTTTGAATATGGGTGCTTTCAGTACAGCACCAATACAGCAAACATGTAATGCCTCAATGTATATGTTCTCTCTTTTGTTCCCACTAAAAACATTTTCAGAAATTGAGTAGGCCTACATCCCTCATAGCTTTGCCGTGGGATCCAATGTAAACTTGAAATGTACCACAAAGGGATGATTTAGCTGCAGGAGGGATGGGACACACATTTGAGACTTGTCAGCTTTAAAATGTTCCCTCTTTTTTTCCTTTTTGAAGAGGAGTAGATTACTTCCAGACCTTAACAAGGAGACTTAGTCACACACTGTGTTTTTATCGAAATGTTCTTTAAATCTTATAAGCTACGATTGTGGTGTGGCTGCGGGGGAGGACTGTTGGCCACTCTGTCGCTCAAACACTTATATATCTTTATAACAAAGTAATCGGAGCAATTGTTTTGTAAAAACATTCATGGCCCCCAGAGGATGAAGACGTTTCCGCTTTCACCTTTTCACCTCTTGTCACTAACGGGCAGTGACGGAAAATATAAAAATATCCAAGTACATTTACTCAAGTGTTGTACTTAAGTACATTTCTGACAAACTTGTGCTATTTTATACTTCTACTCTTCTACATTTCAGAGGCAGATATTATACTATTTAACACTCAATTACTTTGTACATAATATGATGATATGGTGTAATGCAGCACTGTACTACTAATCTAAAGAGTATTTCAAGTCTTTTACTTTTTGTATATTTTGATGCTTAAACTTATATTTTTTAAATCAGATTCTTGGATGAAAGTGAATCTTAAAACATGTATTCATATAAATACCTGTAGGAGACTAATTTCAAGTAAGCATTGACCCCAGTTGACCCCTCTTTTCATTGGCTGCTGAAAGTTCCTGTATCAGAGAGGAGTCGGGTAGCTTGCTAGCTAAGCTACCTTTCCCCAACATGGATATATAAACTACAGAATACGCTCTGATTGATGTTGTTCAAAAAGAAAAAATAGTGGAATTGACTGCATAACATGGCACAAAATAACAGAGTTAGTGACTTCACCAGGCAAAGCGCAATATTGAAAGAAAAACGGAATAGGATTACCTCCAACCACATGCGTGATGCACTTGTGTCATCCAGGCCCTATCAGGAAGCTCTGCTCGATTTATTCTAGCTGTTATTATCTTAAGAACTGAGCTTTTTGTGCTTTACATCGGCCAAAGAAAGCCCCGAGGAACTAGTGTGTCGATGGGAGAACCAGCAGCAACGAGGTGGACAATGACAACTTATCTGTGATTCACCGTGTTCTTCTGTGAGCGGTGAGTACACACTTTCTGTTAATTGACTATTAGCTCAATTAGTCTTTTTGTTTGAACAATTTGTGTATTGTGTCACGGTTAAGGAGTTGCCAGTCCCATTTGTTTTATGTATGAGAATTTGTTATGATAATAGGCCTAATAATTGGTGCAGTTTGACCCCAGAGCCTGTGGGTCTTGCACTGATAAAAAAAACTATTGACTTTGTACAGATGCAGAGAGATAGAGCTGGTTGTTCCCATAATAACATATATGGTCGTTTCAATGAAAGAAGACAGCACACTAGACCTCAACTTATATTGGATAAAACTTGATCTCTATAATAATCCATTAACCATTTTAACAGTTTGGCCAGAATAAGTAATGATCTGCTCATGTGCTTGTGACCAGCTGACCTGTCCACAGCTCATGTTTGGGTCCAGGCGTCTCTAAATGTGTTAGTTATGCTGTTTGTTTGGGTTTTGACAACATGGGGGGTGAGAGTGACTCAGACTTAACACCAGTAGACTTCAGCTGTGGCACCTTCCCAATGTCGTTTAACCTCACTCTAATACTTAAAATAAATATCTCATGGAGCCCGTTTAGGATTTCCCACTGTGAGGCATGATGGATTTCTTAACCGATTGACACAGTTTAAACCAATCTGACATTTTATCTAACCTTTGACCTTAAACAAGGCAGTTGGTCCACTCGTAAACATTTCCTGCAGCCATGTATCATTCTGGAAGGCTGCAGACGCTCAGCCTGAATGTATTTCTATTTTTGTCAGAAGGCTTTTCATAGGAAATCTATTAATACTGTGTACTTAAATCAGCATGAGTGAGTTCCATCAAGCAACAGATACAAATAAAAGCTGTGTCGTGAGGTCATGCTCCAGTGAAGGTGCTTTTTTGGTAGTTTAGCCAGCTTACCTTATCCATCACATGGAAAGCTTGAGTTCATACTGTGGGAGAGTATAGTTTTTAGATCTATGGCGCATTAGCTCGTAAGGCTGGTACACATTTTTATCAGTTATCTTGTAATGCTGTTTCTGGATGCAGTAAAACAACATTAAAACAAACTTTGGTGAAATACAATTAAGACTCTAATTTGCAATGATGGAATACATTTCTGTTGAAGTTGTTTTTCATTCTACACAAGATTTTTATTAAAAACACATTTTAAACTTTTTTTAAATGAGGGACGTACTCTTAACTTTGACTCTCTTTGACTAATGTATAATAAATGCATTTTATAATCTAGGAAAGTGGACATATAGACTTAGAACACACACACAAAATCTACGGGTTATCATTTAAATGCATCACATAATGGAAATCTATCATCTCACCTTTTTAAAGGCTCATCCTTCACCAGGCCCTCTCCCATGCATAATTATAACACAGAGAACAAGCAAGGCTTTGTTGTGGTCATTGAATCTTCTCTTCTTTTTGAGCTCTGTGCTGATAACAGAGAGGCCTGCAATATGTCTCACCCTATATATAATATAAGAGCTTGCTTTTAAAGATAGTGTAGCCACAGCAGATTGCTCCATATGGCCTGTATATGGTGACATCGGAGGGAGTGTGGTGGTCCTGATGTGGCGTCCTCGAGTTACAGGTTTTATTAGGGTAGATCAAAGTGGAGCCCCCATCAGCTGGGATGCTCTCAACATCAGACACACAGGGAAGGTCATGAGGCGGGGCTGCTGGGAAGGTGTCCGACTTCAAGGCCTTTGAGCGGGACCCAATGACATCCGCCATTGAGAGATGGGCCAGCCGTTTGGGGGTGCCATTGAAGGAAAACAGCAGGGTGCCCTCAGGGATACGAAGGACAGGGACCCTTTGAAGTTGGTGGGGTTGCATCTCTGTGGCCGTGTGACCCTCCCAGAACCCCACCCTTCTTCTGCAAATCACATATGGACACCTCTGAAAACTACCCCTGGGAGCTCTGTTGCTCCCGGTCCCGGGCAGTGTAACCTGAGAGTTGCTGTAGCAGCCTGTCGGATCACTGATGGAGGCTTCCCATTGGTCCAAACAGGAAGCGAGCGTGACCCTGTAAAGCCCTGGGGTCAAATACGTCTCTTAGAATGGTGACAATTGAATTAGTGTCTTATGTAGACCAGACGGCCTGGGGACCACATAAACACAGGTAGACGTGTCCTTGGAGCAATTACATTTGCACATCCTAAACACACACATTTGAATTCAGCTGACTGGCTTTGAGTACACACGCATCATTTAGGTTCCCCCTTTATGCTTAGACAACAGAACTATAGCTCATCAAGCACATGATGTCACCATTTTCATTTCTGTTTTATGATGGAGGATCGATAATTGAAAGTGTACTTATCTGTTTTCCATGGATGAGTCATCCAGTCTGCTGTGCTGGCCTTTCTATCTTTAGCTCTGCATGTATTTTTCAGCATGGTTTCTTTATGTGAACAATCTAGACACACACTTTCTCTTTAGGGAGATGCACGGAAACTGTGTTTTATAGCTCTGCTCACTTCTGCCATTTTCTCTTTATTTTGCATCCTCTTTCTTGCTCTTTACTTGTTTTCTTTTCCCTCTCTCTTGAGTAGATGAGGGGATGCCACCATCACTTTTGCAGACTTAACAAAAAGATGATTAGGCAAATTTAATGCCAGTGGAGCCTATTTGGTTGTCTGGTCGAAGCATTTTGCATCTACAAGTGCATTTATACACTTGTGTGCAGGTAATACATGTGTGTATTTGTATGTCCTGTAAGTGTGAGTGTCTGTGTGTGGTCATATAAGTGCATTTAGGTATGTGGCTGGCCCAGAGGAGCAGTGGTGCATACACTGCCATCAGTCAGAGCCCAGAGCCAGCCCTGCTTTAATGGCTGCCATAATTAAAAAAGCTTTTAGAGGGTGTGCCACTAAAGGGGGCAAGGTGGGGGCGGAGCTGAGCTGGTTGGAGGCGCAGAGATACTAGTGCAGGACAACTGCCTGCCAAAAAACAGGTCATTTTTGCACAGGCATACTGCATGATGGCAGAAAAAATGCAATTTAATCTGACTGTGTCTAATTTCTTAACTCACTGAGAAATTAGACATAGTCTGACGGCTTGTTTTGAAAGTCCATGTTAAATTATAATACTTAATGGAATGAGTATTTAAATAGTTTCCTTAAACCTGCGAGTACACATTCCTGGACACTTGAAGTCTGAGATCAAGATGTGAACATTCACATATCATCCCCTTGACATTGCAAACTTGTTATTGAAACATCCAGCAAACACAGAGCAACATTGTTACAAATGTTCTGGTCACATGATGGATACAAGTCCAATATTCACTCTCTTTCAACAATGCTTGTGGTATGTTCTTTTAGTGTTCAGCAGGTAGTGTATAGTGAGCTTCTGTTTTATTAAATGCCTACTAATTGAACTCAAAGTATTGAAGGGAAGTACTTAGTTAGATTGCACAATAGGTCATGTACAGTAAGAGAAAGAATACAGGCTTTAAAACAGTCTGTTTTGCTGTAATATGTGTTTCTTTGGTGTGAATGCCTGTGGAGAGTCTGATGGAAAAAGGAACATGGAAGCACTGACTGTTACCTTAGAAAATGTGTGTTACCAAGAGGTCATCGGTCGTCCACTGGCCGCTAGAGTAAGAGTAAGTAAATTATTTTGCTGTTGTAAACCAACCCATTGCAACTATACCACTGCTGAGCCATTCTTGTTGCCATTAGCTGCTGTGTTTACATGTCTAGAAAACATTTATTTTGCTGGCAAAGCTCTGTAACGTAAACACCATGTACGTGGATGGAAACAATTACACGTCTCGAACATGCCCCAAGAGATAAGGGTGCCGACTTTACCCTAAACACTGTGGAAAGCATAAATATTCATAGGACGCCGGATTAGAGGCTGGTATAAATAGGATTCAGGGGGTTTTCATAATGTTTCGGTCTTGATGGAGAAACATATTCAGCTGCTGGTCTTTATACTGTACAGAAGTTCAAATTACATTACCTGGCTCCAGCAAGGAAATTCAAGTTAGTTTCTTTATCAAAACCAGATTTTTGAATGACACAGCTTTGCATTTGTACGGTTTCACACAGTAAAGGTTATACTGTAATCCAGCGTCCAGGCGTCCGTCCATTAGCTGTGTGAAAATGGGTTTTGGACGTGTGGTTGTGATTAGCAAGGTCCTTTAAACTCCCCCAGGTTGTGAAAACATTTGAAAACACTTTTCATTTCCTTAGGTTGAACTGGAGAGCATCCCTCACACACACACACACACACACACACCAAAGTAAATGATCCTGCTTTCTCCCAGAAGTCCAGGGGAGCAGACCTGCTTTGCTGTGACCTCTGGGGTCATATCTAGGCGGTCTGATCCTGGTGAGTACAACTACTGTGCCTCACAGTTTATCTCCGCTGAACCTATAGAATATCGCTGCTCAGGGAAACATCCCTCTGTTTACAGTTCCACCCAGAGGTAAAAGCAGCAACTTGGGGTAGAAGGTGTGAGTCTCGGGTTCAGGCGCAGGTCGGAGTTAAAGAAACAGGTTGAGGTTAAACGTCTGTGCGTTTTAACGGCTTCATACTTCACACTAAGTGTCTTTACTCACATTTGTTTACATTGAACTACAGCTGCCAGTCTCATAAATGTCATTTTTGCAAGAACTATATACAGCTGTAAAGTTTTAAGGTGCTATTGTTTTAAATGTGTAATTATGGTTGTTTTTATTATTTCATGTTCTGTATTAGTTGGCCTTCTGCATATATTCTCTACTCTCTTCTAATACTATGTATTAAAATGTGTTTTAAATTCAAATCCTGCTTCTGCTGTCATGTATCGTTGCAAGCTGCGATCATATTTTACATCATCATTTAATTTGTGCGAGTTGTATTTACTGTAATTTGTTTCTGTGAATGTGACTGGTTGTGAAATGTTTGATCCCTCTTATTGCTCTGCTATAATTTTTGGCTCTGTCCTATTATCTGCTGCTAGAGCGACCCTTTAATTCCCTGTGGGGATCATAAAATATTCAT